ATAGGGTTGCCAACCTTCCAGGATTGTGCTGGACTCTCCAGGAATTAAAGATTAATCTTTAATGGAAGATTATGTCATGTCATGAAACCTCCAGGAATACATCCAACCAAAACTGGCACCCCTAACTTTATACCAAATGCCCATGGAGCCTGGTGGTGGGACAGGCCTGAGCGTGGGGCTCCCTGCAGCTCTGGGGGTTGAGGGCACGCTACAGCTCATGGGGGTGGGTTTGAGGGGTCAGTCTGCAGTTTGGCTGGGAGCTGTGGAACTGGGGGGGGGATCAGGGGTCCCTCCCAGGGCTGTGTCTCTGCTGGGGGGGAGTAGGCCCGCACGGGGGTCCCCCGGAAGGCTGGTTCTCCCCCACCCCATGGGCTGTATAGCGCGACCCCTTTCCCCCCAGGCCCTGTGAGCGTAGGAGGCAGGGCAGGGGCTGGCCGTGCAGGGAGGCGGCCGCGCGGCTCAGGGCGGGGATGGGGCCGGGTCCCACGTGGGCGGGCTCGGCCGGGAGGCGGCGCCGCGCCGGGGAGCTGCTCCTTGAGCCTAGGGCCGGGCGCGGTGTCGCAGGCGGAGTAGAGCCCGGAGCCCGGGCAGGATGCGCCTCGCCGCCCCGCTGCTCCTGCTGCCGGCCCTGCTGCTGCTGCTGGCCGCGCTCCCCGTCCGGGGCCGCCGGGAGCCCCCCGCGCCGGGGCCGCCATTGGCCGCGCAGGGCCCCGCCAACGCCAGCCGGCCGCCGCCGGAGCCTCTGGGCGCCCCCGGGAACCACAGCGGCGCCCAGGTCAGCCTCCTGCCCGCGCTGCTCCGGGACCTGTCCGCGCTCAAGGCCGCGGTGATCGGGGCGTGCGTCCTCAGCGCCGGCCTCATCGGCTGCCTGCTGCTGCGGGTCTGCAGGTACCGGCCGGCGGGGGGCGGGCGCTACCCGGGCAGGCGCGGGGGGGATCCTCGCCGGGGGGGCGCTGCCTGCTGTACCCCCAGGTGGGCGAGGGGGGCACTGGTCTCCTTACCCCCCAGGTGGGGGGGCTCTCTCCCCATGGAGCCCGAGGGGGACACCGCCCTCTGTACCCCCCAGGTAGGGGGGGCTCTCCCCCCATGGAGCCTGAGGGGGGCACTTCTCTCTGTATCCCCAGGTGGGGGGGCTCTCCCCCCATGGAGACCAGGGGAGCACTGTTCTCTGTACACCCCTGGTGGGGGGGCTCCTCTCTGTCCCCAGTAGCGCTAACAGAGTGTCTCTCTGCTGATGGTTTCCAGAGGTTTCCTGGGCCTTATATGCACATGACTAGTAAGGTGAGTCAGTGCTGGGCTGGCATATGCCCTGGAGGCCCTTGATCACAGTAGCACTGTCACCTTTCTAGATTGTGGGTGAGGATCTCTGGGATGTGACCTGAAAAAGTGAGTCCCTGACCAGTCCATGGAGAAGTTAAAGCTCCCATGGCCTTTTCTCTTAGGCCATGACTACCCGTACAGCGGCGCAGCTGTACCGATATAGCTCCGTCGCTGTATCACATCTGGTGAAGACACTCTGTTGGGAGAGAGCTCTCCTGTTGGCATAAAAAACCCAACCCACGTGAACAGCAAAAGCTATGTTGGCGGGAGAAGCTCTCCTGCTGCCGTAGCGCTGTGCCCATGAGCACTTATACCGGCGTAACTTATTTTGCTCCGGGGTGGAATAGTCACACCCCTGAGCAACATAAGTTTTGCCAATGTAGGTGGTAATGTAGACATAGCCTAAAGCCAGAAAAGCTGAAGTGCATCTTCCTCTGGAGTAAAGGCACCCAGCACAGAGGGGATGGAAGTGGGTGAGAAGGCAAGTTTTGGCCAGCCCGGCCTACTGTATGTAGTTTGTAAAATGTCCTAGATCCGCTGGCCAGAAAGGGAATGGAAAATAGAATGCTTATACCTTTGAATTGTTTGTTCCCGGCTCTTTGAAGAGCACTATATATTAGTTCTCAAGGAAGAAGTATTGTTCTGTTTCATTAGTTAAAACATGAATAAGCGCTCTTGAAATACACCTCTACCCCGATATAACGTTGTCCTTGGGAGCCAAAAAATCTTACTGCGTTATATCGAACTTGCTTTGATCCACCGGAGTGCGCAGCCCCGCCCCCCCAGGAGCGCTGCTTTACCGCGTTATATCTGAATTCATGTTATATCGTGGTAGAGGTGTAATTGCCATAATATGAGTGTTCATGTGCTGTAAAGCATAGCGTCCAGGCGGGCGGAGCAAAGACTCGAGCTCTGACTTGAAAATAGATTTCCCAATAGTCCTCAATAACCTCTAAATGTCAACTGCTGCCTTATGGGCCAGGTACAGTACGTTAGGCAAAACTCCCTGCCTTCCACTGCCTGGTATATATCTGGCACCCTCATTTCCTTTGTGATTTTGGTAGACTGTTTGAACATCCACAGGGTTATGTCATTGTAAGTGCTAGAGTGAAGGAAATGCAGGGAAGCATATAAGGGTATGCAATTGTATAACTGGAGGTAACTTATTTCATCCAGTGTTCATCAGGAATAAAACCCCTTCATTGATAGCATGTCTGCCTATTTGTGTGTATGTTGTCCAGTTTTAATGATCAGAGAAGTGACAGGAGACTCTTGTCTGTAGGTTTTGAAACTCCAGCCCTTATCGGACTTGATCGCTCACATTTGACTCTGTTGACATCCCTTCGTGAACACCGTACTTTGGATAAAACATATTTTTTTTTATCCATTTGTATTGTTAGGAAACTGCTATAACTTTGAAAGAGATACTGGAGGGGTCATTAAAAAACCCCAAACTTCCCTGAGTGTGTTTTCCACCCCCATTTTAAAACAAACTCAGCAGAAAAATGGGGTGCAAACAGGGCAGTAATTTAGGTTGGGCGTAGGTTTCCTCTGGTGCAGCAGGGAGTAGGCTCACTCTGTCAAGTTTTCAAAGGGTGTCTCTTTTGCATGTGTGTGCAGATACCCAACTGGAGTGTACAAATGAGATAAAGCTTTGCTTAATGCTGAGGCCAGAGTTCAGCCCTAGGATAAAGCCCAAATAAATGGGCTGGATTCGGTCTTTGTCCCCAAGAATTAGGATTAAATGGAGTTCCGGGCCGTGGAACCACTCTGTGGCCGCTTGTGCAGCTGGGGTGCTACATTAACCTTCGCTGCTGCACAGTGTGGTTGGATGGACTGGAGGGAATGGGGGATTGGTTAGTGGATCCAGCCCTTTTCCTCCCCCCAAATCCACAGCATGTTGGGTTGATGGAAGCCTTGGCAGAACACAGCTCTGCAATGTGCAAGAAGTCTGCATCTGCCTGGTGGGATCCTGGCATATTGTTTCTCTCTGCAGCGTAATTCCAGCAAATATATTGCATTCAACCTTGTCCTCTCCTGTAGAAAGTGGGTTGGAACCAGGATGTGCTGAGTAACATTGTAATACTTGAAATCTTTGATTAGAAAGCTGGTCTCTCTCTTGGCTTGTTGCTGAGGAAGGAGAAAATAAACTTACCAGTGTCAAACTGAGCCTTTCATATTAATGTTAATAAATTACTGTTTCTGTGGTGGTAGCAGCTACAGGTCCATTTGTGCTAGGCACTCTTTGTACATACAGTAAACGAAAAGTTCTAGTCTCATCTAAGAGTGTTTAGCTCTGGTTTGTTCACTTCTGACTTCATGGTGGAAAACTACAAAACCTTCAATAGTTAACAGGAATTCTTTCTTACAGGTATGTGCAAAAGAAAACAACCTGCAGGGTTGAGTCATATAACTTGCTCTCTGGAAAGCTGTGGTTGGTTGTTGCTTGTAGAAGGAAGAAGTTGGGCAACGGAGTTAGTTGAACAGGTGTATTTTGTGAATTCTTCCTTCACCTACTCACAAACAGCTCTTCTGCAGTTACGTGGCCCTTCCAGCTAACTGTTATAGTTCTTCCCTGTTTCTGAGGTCTTAATATTAATTTATTAATGCCGATGAGTAGAGTCTACATGAGTACTGTTCTTAAAGGGTTCCCTTCTATAAGAGTACCCTTAGAAATTGAGACATCTCACAAGTCTGGCCCAGTGAACAAACTGCAAAAGATTTGTCAATGTGTGTTAGTGTCTAGCACAGTGTAGCAAGATTCAACTTACCATGGCAAGTAATTTGGTTTAGGGGCAAGCAAATAAAACATTGCTTTTTAAAATCATTCTTTTCATCACTATCATCTGCTCATCCAGGCTTGCAAAATTGTTGTGGGATTATACATCAGAACGGATTTTAGGCACTTGGGTGGGTCAGACTAAAGGCAACATAGTCTACTAATAAAATCAGTATAAGGTGATCTAAATTCTATATCTAGCTCTTTCACTAACTGGCCTTGGGCAAGTTCAGCCTCCCTGCCTCAGTTTCTCCATATGTAAAAAGAGAAAGCAGGGTTGACATTCTTGATATTTTCCAAGATAAAAAACAAAGCAGCAGAAAACCCAGCCTTTTGAGTCTTCTCTCTACATCAGGGGTGGGCAAACATTTTGGCCCAAGGGCCACAGCTGGGTTTGGAAATTGTATGGTGGGCCATGAATGCTCATGAAATTGGGGGTTGGCGTGAGGGAAGGGGTGAGGGCTCCAGCTGGAAGTGCAGGCTCTGGGGTGGGGCTAGAAATGAGTTCAGGATGCAGGAGGGGTCTCCGGGCTGGTGCAGGGAGGGGGTGAGGGCTCTGGCTGGGGGGGTTCTGGTTCTGGGGTGGAACTGGGGATGAGGGGTTGGGGGTGCAGGAGGGTGCTCTGGGCTGAGATTGGGGGGGATCAGAGCTGGGGAAGGGGGTTGGGGTGCAGGCTCTGGGCGGTGCATACCTCAAGCAGCTCCCAGAAGTAGCCGCATGTCCCCGCTCCAGCTCCTACGCAGAGGCACAGCCAGGTGACTCTGCACTGCTCTGTCTGCAGGTGCCGCCCCTGCAGCTCCCATTGGCCGCGGTTCCCAGACAATGGGAGTTGTGGGGGTGGCACTTGGGGCGGGGCAGCGTGTGGAGCCCCTTGGCTGCCCCTACGCGTAGGAGCCAGAGTGGGGACATGCCACTGCTTCTGGGAGCTGAGCGGGGCAAGCCCCCGATCCCGTTCCCTGGCGGGAGCTCGAGGGCCATATTAAAGTATCTGGAGGGCTGCAGTTTGCCCACCCCTGCTCTACATCCTACAGAAGCCAAAGGGGACACAAGCCCAGTTATTTTAGAAAATTCTTTGCAGTCACCTTTACTGGCAAGCACTGCTGAGCTCTTCCATGCCAAACTCATTTCATCTGTACCCGACTGCTTATAGTTAAAGCACGTTTCATGTATGTGAGAGATTCCTGCTGTTCTTTTAATAAACACAGTGGCTCCCGTCGAAAATGGAGCTTTCAACTTCTCCATGCAGTTGTTTATCTGACACAGCCTCTAGTGTGTAAGCAAAGATTGATCTGAGTTACAAAATAAGACAAGCAAATCAACAAGCATGTTTGTACCATTTCCAGCTTGCAGCTGGCAAAATAGTTTGGAGAGGAGTTCTCATTTCTGTTGCAGAAGAGAGATCACATTTACTCAAATGAAAAGCCTTTCTTGATCAAAATAAGAGCTTTGTTCATGTCTATTTTCTAAAAAAAACCCAAAACAAAGAACCTTGCAGAGACCAGTATTGTAGATTGCTGTTAAGCAGAAGTTGTTGAAATTCAATATTTTATTAAACTGTCACTATGAAATTACACTGGTTTGCTGCAAGTAAATTATCCCTTTAGATACGGATTGTTGCGATGACGTGAGTTAGCGGGCAGATATTTTATCACAGGCACTGGCTTGTGATACTTACATCCTTGCTTTCTTTCCAACACACTGTTTTCTTTTATGGGTGCTTTCAAAGATGACCTGTTCTTCTTCCTCCTTACAAGTGTTCTGATCTGAGTGGACTTGGGGGGGCCCAGTGGAGAAGAGCTTGGCACTGCCATAAGGGATCTGAATTCCAGCTCCCTCTCCCCTGAACTGCTCAAGGCTGTGCAGGCTGTGAAAGTAGCATGGTCCACAGTAGCAGGAGGCAACACCTAGTTTGCAATAGCAGCCTTTTCTGGCTGACTCAGAGATGCGCCTGGAAAGGATACTCCACCACTTCCAATGGCAGGGGGAATGGAGTATTTTCTCTGCATCACGTGTGTGCTGAGTACCTCCTTCTCTCCCACCCTTAAGCCAAAATATCCTCCACAACTTGCTACTTCAGCGAGTGCTTCTGTCCATGTTTTGATTCTGCCTTTTTGAATCCATATTTTAAAACTCTCTCCCTCCTCTCCATTGATGTCAGTGCAGTTGCTCCAGAGGTGAATTAGGCCCCTCGCTTACTAAGTAAACTGTCAGGGTTAACCACACTCAAAAAGGAAATGAGGGGTCAGAAACTCTGTTATCTGTGTTGCTTGATGCGGAAGCCACTGGGACATTAGATAAATCTATCAAGTATTATTATTTTTTTTTAATTAGCAAACGGCAACTGCAGTGTCACCATGGGGCAATAGGCGTTATCAGCCACGGTCAGTAGTGTTTGCAGTGAACTTCTGTAAAGTGTGGAAATGAGTAAGACTCAAGCTGGATGTGAGCACTGTTTACAAGGTACAGGTCTGCCTGTTGAGAGACATGCTACCCACTTAGAGAACAATAATATTTTGACCCAAATTACCTCTGGTCACATCACTGCTGTCCGAGCCTCAGATTTCTCTACTAAATCTCATTCTTTTTAGATAGCTTTCCCTCGGGCCTACCTCTTTAATAGCTACAAAACTGGCTACGTTGCTGTGCTTTAGGAGAGAGATTTAAGTACATTGACTCATCATCTAGTCATAGGTTACAGGACCTGGTTATCCTACCTTGTTGGGTGGTGCTCTGTACACCTAAGGCTCACCTACACTAGAAGGCTGAGTTGACTAAGTGTAAATTGTTTTATAACTGGTTACTGTACAATACTAAAAAACCCTTTCTTCAATCCACGGGCAGCTAGCTGCCAGCTACTGGAGGGAAATAGATCATTTTGAAAGCAGGTCGGATAAAAATCAAGGATTTAAAAAAAATTTTTTTTATTTAAATACAAGTTTATTCTTTCACAAAAATAACCAACCCCCAATTTGAAATTGACAACCTATGTTAAGGCCTAAACTTATTATAATCTATTAAAATAATTTCAATTAAGTGAGTAAAATTAATACACATTTGCTGCTGAACTTTGAAGAAAGTCAGACCACTGAAATGGTGAAACTCACTGGTTAAACACCTGGAACCAGAGTTTAAAGTGCTAGACCAACTTTTGACAGCAGTCGCCTCCTCTGCAGAGAAAATATGTTCTTCATTTCAGTTTATTCAACTTCAGTTCAGTTTAATGACTAGTTCAAAGTTAAGAAACCAGTTGGGAATTGAAAAAGCAGGAAAGCTTCTTTTCCTCTGCCAATCTAAATATAAACTGGGTGTGAAAGGGTGAGATCTACTAGTTCTAAAACAGTAAAGGGAATAGTGACCAGAAACAATCAGTTCAGTTCACTATCTATGGAGAATATTGCCTTTGTTTAATAAATGTTAGTTCTAAATACAAAACATGTTTTGATCTTGATCTCTTTTTCTTACATAGGCAGCACATTTAAGGCTTTTTAAAATCTGATTAAAAAATGCCATTTTTGTGCATTTTTAACTGAATTTGAATTTCCATCCAAATAGAGCTTGGCACATCACAAGTTTTTAAAAAAAATCAAATAAGAAATGTACCATTTTCTAACATAATAAAAATGTGAACATTAAGAATCTAAATAAATGTAAGTTTAAATGTGTACAGATATGGTGTATCCTCCTGGTTAGCAAGAAGCAGTCCCAAACTTTGAGGAAAGGCTATATTTAGTTGCAGATCAACATGTTTTACTGGTTAGCAATCAAAGAGAATGAACCTATCTTTAAGAAAACAGCTATAATGTACAAATGCAAAAAAACAATTCAAATCAGTAATTTAAATCAAGGCTTCCTGCTTGCTAGTTTAAATCATGATGAAAATCGGTGACTTAAATAGCTTTGATTTAAAATCAGTCCACCCTGTTTGATAGACTATTATATGAAAAAGAAAAAAAAACAATAAAAAGCCAAGTATGACCCCTACCGGAAACCCCTCTTCAGATGTGTGTGTTTTATTGGTCAAAGCAGGAGTCTCAGAGCCCTATTTCTGGCTTCCCTGCTCTCTTGCTTTATGAATTTAGGTAAGTCACTTAAATTCTCCAAGCCTCAGTGTCTGTAAAATGGGGATAATAGAAATATTAGTCTCATAAGACCAACTATATTTGGAAGTGCATGTTGGTCCCAGTACTATATACAGTATGCAAATTCAGTCTTATTTTAGTTACTTTCAGGTACTACCTTTTAATTGAATCATGGCAAGATCTCATTCAGATGTTCCTGAAATTTTTCAGAACCTTCTTCCCAGCCTCCAAACCTCTTACTAATCGTTAGTGCAGTTGAACAAGATTTAAGTTGAACAAGAGCTTCTGTTCTCTGTGGATGAGTATGTTCCATCGCAAGAAGCTAGTTGTTAGAAAAATGTGGCGTGTCAGTTCATTACAGGAAAATGAATGCCTGCCTGAAAGCATGCATGAGGATTCATCTTAATGGCTTCTGGTTTAATTTCAGGGTTTAAAATGATCATGTGAGCAAAGAAGCCTGGTTCGATAGAAAATGGTAAAATGTCAGCGGTATTAATGAAGCTCTCATTCAGTGACTTGTTACGAGTCTGGAGTTCTTTTAGGTTTATTATCTGGAATCTTGTAAATGTTGCGGGAGCCAATTATTGCTAACTATGTTGGGCCCAATTCATTCCTGGTAAAACTTAATTGGAGCTTCAACAGGAATGGATTTAGTCTATTGTTTTTGGTGGGATTACAAATGAGAAACACGCATATAGGAAAGGATAATTTAATCCCCCCTCCTACCTTCTCATGTCTGTCTTCAGGAAGTGTTAATGCTGGATTGAAAGCTCTGAGACAGTTCTCTGTGGGGTCAAGAGAAGTGTTATTTCTGAGCATCAGGGTTGTTGACTAAAATAAATTGGAGGCTTAAAGTATATAATGAACTAGTGAGTTGACTAATGCATTTCTCCCACCACATGATGCTTCAGTAAGGAGCATGAAGTGCTACACATGACTAGTGTTTGACCAAAACAGCCCCTGGTCAAAAGACTGACATGAGTCATAAACTTTCTCCCTCTCTCCCAGCCAAATTTTCATTTGCTATGTTTCAATATTGAACACCCCTTCCCCGAGCTGTACTGAAACGTGCAGGCAGTGCATCCTTGTTCTTGTGGAGTCGAGAGCACTGTCATGGAGGGTGATGTCTTGTGAGTTTAACTTGTAAAGAAATATGATTGCACGGGGATAGGACTAATATGGTTCAATAACTTATGAGCTCTAGGAGTTGGATCCTCCTGAGTTGGTCCAGTTGGTCTCACCATTATTCTCCTTGTTTTAAATACATTTCATGCCCCCTAATCCTGCTCTTGTCAAAGCTAATGAGTTTCTTGTTGGCTTTAACAGGATCAGTAGTGGGCCCAAAATGAGAGGGTACTGGCACTGGCTACAGCTGTTTGAAGCTTGTGAAGATGCTACGCAAGCTTCATAGATTGGTAAATGTTAAGACCAGAAAGGACCATTATGGTCATCTAGTCTGACCTCCTTCCTAACATAGAACAGTGAATTTTGCCCACCCCTCCACAGCTCTGTCAATGCATTTTAGTCTCGATCTGCGGTGGCACCTTCTGTTGTTGTAGTCCTTGGACATCCCCCTGGCTCTGCTGGTGAACACCTGCTATCTCTGGGTATGCCCCCCAGCACCTGCTCAGCTCTGTAGTGAGTGCATCTCCATCCCGAACAGAGCATCTTCTGATCCGGCCTGCTAACTTTAGGGGTAGCAGTTTGAGGTGTAGGGACTAAGCATGAAAGCATTAGTCACTTTTAACTTTTCATTGGAAGTCAGATCTCCTGTGCTGAAAGCCTTGTGCATGAATACCTTTTACCACGGGGTCTTTCATGCAAGGGGTATTTGATTTTATCAGTATGCAAGGAGTATGCTCTAATTCAGTGGTTCTTAACCTCTACTGCAGCCTGTACCTCTTTAGTTCTCAAAGGGGAGGGATAGCTCAGTGGTTTGAGCATTGGCCTGCTAAACCCAAGGTTGAGAGTTCAATCCTTGAGGGGGCCATTTAGGAGTCTGGGGCAAAAATCTGTCAGGGACAGTACTTGGTCCTGCTGTGAAGGCAGGGGACTGGACTCAATGACCTTTCAAGGTCCCTTCCAGCTCTATGAGATTGGTATATCTCCATATTTAAAAAAAAAAAAAGTTCTTGCACCCCTTATCAAAAATCGTTGAAGTAGGTCAGTTCTTTAAATCTAGATACATTTTTTGGTTGTATATTACAGTAATTGTTAAAAAATGTATAATGTTAATAAATACATAGGTTTGATGAAACAAAGTAGTTGTACTTACGTGCCTGTGCTTAATTTGTGTTTTCAATGATTTACCTTCTAAAAAAATCGAGCATGTCTCGCACCCTCAGAAAGGGCATCTCGTACCCCCGGGGGATGCGTGCACCCCAGGTTAAGAACCACTGCTCTAATTGCTGCCCCTAACATTCTTTCTTGTTAGTCCCCCAAACACATTTGTTTTATTAAACTAAGCCATGGCCTGTTCTCACCCATGAGCCCTTAACATGTTCTGACCCTTTGGAACAGGTCTCCAAAGGTTGTGAAATGTTAACATTCCCTAGTTCCTGTCTTGTGCTACTGTGCTTATACAAACAGTTGAGATGTGGTATCTTGTCCCACCCAGTGTGTAGTGTTTGTGTTTTTTCTTTTGTCTCGTTATTGCGGATGATTAACGAGATACTATCAGGGATAAGTATGTCCAGTGCTATAGGAAACAGATTGGGCAAAAATCCATCTGAAGAAATCATTTAGTATGTGGGTGGGAAACTTGAAAGGTTTCCATTTAAAGATAGTTTGTCTCAATGTTTTTTGTTGTCCAGACAAAAAAATCCTCTAGGTTTCAGAAACAAGTGTGTGTGTACTGGCTGTTGGGACTGCAGGTTAACAATAATGATGTTAACCAAATAAATAGGAATTAATTGAAAGAAGAGAGAATGAAAGAGCCTTTGCCTGCTCCATGACAAGATATTTGCACCTACATCTCCGCTAAATCAGAACATTTCTACAAAACTTGTTTTCCATTTTCCATCCAGCTTTACCGTTAAGTGACTATTGTCACGTTAGTGACGATGACTTTGCAAGTTCTCTTTAAATGCTAACTAAATAGAGAAATAGAAAAGTAGGACGACTCAGCTACTGGCAAATAACGGTCTTTAAATAATACAATGTTCTTTCAGTAGTTGCCCGAAATAAGCGGTATCTGCCTCTGTAGGAGATGAGAACTGATGTCTTGCAGCAAAAGTAGGTCTGATTGCAGACAGAAAAACGACCTGTTCCTTTAACATGCAATCCAGTGTAGCCTTGCTAATTCATGTGCACACATGGGAGATTGTTTTGTCATGGCTGTTCACTTACTAATTCAATTGTAGAAAGTGCCTCATTCACCTTGAGGAATGTGCAGTTTAGTTTTAATGGTGATGACACTTCATATCGTCTGAGTAAATGTTCTCTTGTACAAGCAAAGCTTTCCTTGTAAGATGAGATCTCAACACATATCTCTTCTCACTGCATCACTTTGCTGTTAGGTATTAGCTGAAAAATGGAGTGAGACTGCCAGGTGTTTTTGTGAGGATTATCAGGTGTTTGGTTAGGAAGGCCCTACTGGGTGGGGTCTGAAATGACTTGTTTTAACAGATGGGATAATAGAACAAAACACTCTGTGCTCTGCTTGATGTGATACAGCACAGATGGTTACAGTGTAGCTTGGACCATGAGAGTTTCTTGACATTTTTGATGCAAATTAGTCCTTAGAATGCTCAGGAAATGAAAATTGCATTACCCCAAGGTCTGGGGCTTGCTTTACTTAGTCCTGGACCAATGCCCAAAAATGATGCTATCCTCAGAGGCCTTTTACATCAGATATTTCTTGATCGTGTATAGAGTTCAAGGCCAGAAGGGACCCTCTGATGATCTTATCTGACCTGCATAACACAGGGCAAAGGATATTCCCCAATAATTCCTGCACCAAGCCTGTATCTCTTGTTTGAGCTATAGCATATCTTTTAGAAAGATATCCAGCCTTGGATTAAAGATTTCAAGTGATGGCAACCCCAACTCATCTTGTGTGATTTGTCAGGGTGAGGCTTCTGGACAGCAGGAATGTTTTCATGACCTGTTAATGTTCCTGGACTGATAGTTGGAAATTCTCCAGACGTTTGGCTGTCCTTTATCATCTTGCAGATTTTCAGTTCTTTTTTTTTTTTAAACAAAGGGTTACAGGGGAAATAGTCTGCATTATGTTGGATAAACCATTTCCAGAGTGCGAGCAATTATGCTAAGCTCTTCGTTTCTTCCCCATATCCCCCAAAAGCAGCTTCTTTATTTAAATGCAATATAAGTGAAGCACAAACCAGTGTAACCAACACAAACCCAGGCTTATGTCTGAGCAGTGTGAGACCTTGGGTTAATGGATATTAAACTGTGGAATAAAAAGAGCCTGTACAATACAAGTGCTTTGAGTTAAAGAGACAGTGTCGAGTTAAGTACCATATTCTGTATCACTTTGGTTTTTTATGTCAAAATTATTTTAATGTAAGTAGATTCTGGAAAATGAGTCTAACGAGTAAAGGGCGCACAGGTGTATAAGCATCCTTGCTACAAAAGAAATTGAGCATTATGTTAAGCGGAAGGACGTTGGCTACAGCTAAATGTTAAAACATGGCCAGTGATTTTTCATGACGTTTGCACAATAGTGAGTATAAAATTGCTCAAGTGAAACTACTGGCTGTATTGGGGAGTGTCTGGAAACTTCACTCTGGTGTCCAAAAAAGGTAGAAGAGGTTGTCCACTCGTAAATGTTACCTCAGATGCCCAGTCCTCTTGTAACTCTTCTCTGAACCCCTGT